GTGAGGGAGGAGTGGGGAGTGGGGAGGGAGGAGTGGGAGTTGGAAGGTGATACAGGAAATACCTGTTTATCTGGCTGTCAGGTGCTCTTCTAGGATTGAGGATCTGGCAGGGGCGGGGGTGGAACAGCAGTGGACTGTGCAGTGAAGTTGATCAACTTCTTTTTACTCCCACACCTCTCATACTCTTACTCAAACGAGGCATTTTCACATCCATGACTCTCTGAGGTTTGGCAAAACAGAGACTCGTCTTGTGTCTTCTGCCCTACGTCATTAGCCACCACTCCACAGCTCATTGCTGGCTGTCGGCTGCCCTTGGCTCCTAGAAGCCTCTCTCTGGTCCTTGCACGCGATACCTACATTTTAGAACCAGCAACAACATGTTACATCCTTCTTAGTCTGGGATCTCTCTGGCTTCCTCTTGGCAACATCACTCCTGCCCCTTTTCACCACATCTGTCTAACTCCAGGCAGAGAAAGTTCTCTGTTTTTAAAAGTCTATGTTATTACGTTAGACCCACTCACATAATCCAAGATAATCTCCTTTAACTTCATCTGCAAGGTCCCTTTTGTCATGTAATGTGACATTCACAGATTCAGGGATTAGGGGGTAGACATCTTTGGGAGGAAGGGTAATTTCACTTACCAGATTGCCTATTGATTTTTTTTTTTAAAGTAAGCCCTTGTTTCTTAGAATTTCTTTCTGGAAATTCTTTGAGATCCTAGTTTAAAGTGTGTTCCTTTACAAAGTTTGCTTTCTCTAGGTGTGTTGGTTACTGCTAATACGGCTAAATGCTTTACATTTTCAACTTGATGTTTTTTGGGACTATGAACTCAGGCCCCTAACACATATGAGCACATGATTTTATTAGGAATTCTCAGAGGAGCCAAATTTTCCTCCCCCGTCTCCCTGAGTCAAGGCAAGGTAAGCAAATCTTCTTTTGCAGGAGAATTTCTTCTTGTCTAGTTTGCAGGTGACTGTGCAGCATTCTGACAGCCATCCTCAGGACGAGCATCAGGTCCAGGGTTCTGACCCCGGGGCTCTGCCCTGTGCCTCACTGACCAGCCCCAGTGCACTCCTCCCTCTAATGTGATTATCTCTTAATGAAGTCACAAAGACATATTTACTTAGGAAAAAAACACCACCCTCCACCCCAATGCCAGGAAATTATCTTGATCTCCACTACAGTTTGTAAAAATCTTAAATCCCAGCAGTAAGATTTTCACACATAGAATCTGACTTCTATTTTGATCTCTCTTACTTTTGTCACCCCCCACCAAAAGGAATGAGTTTAAGGAAAAAGGAAAAAAAGAGACCAAATCTCATACCGTGTAAACAAGAAGAAAAGAGGCATCAGTATGCTAAAATAATGTTTACATTTTAATTTATCTTTCAAGTTACTTTTTAGAAACTTGATTTTTTAAATTGATATAAAATTTCAGTTTTTGTGGGTAATTCTTACATGTTCTGAGAGTTCTCTCAATTTAGCTAAATTGTTTGGATCAATTTAATATGGGGTAGATAAAACCCATGAGAGTCTTAAAAGATAAAGCTAAGAAAGGAAAGTTTAAAGTCAAATGTGTATCTTCTTTTAAGCATAACAGTGTTCTTTGTATTGCTTGAATTTGTATCATGTCATAAGTCAAACTTTAAAAATACTGCATGCCTATTAGTAGAGATTTTTCACTTCTGTTTTTAAGTGGTGACGTTGTTATTAACCTGACTTGGGCTGTCCAAAATACTTTTGAAACTGGGGCTTAGATTCATTAAGCTATAACTTGCTTGTCTAATAAATAGTAAATTATAACTGCCTTCACTGATCAAGTTCACTTTAGTTGTTCCTGCAAGGTGCATATCCTCCAAGTTTAGACAATATATCACAAGAGTCCTTTAACCACCCCCTGTAGATAACGCCTCTGACGTATGGGTCACCATAGTAACGGCTGCCTAAATTGTTTTCCAGAAACTTGGAGCCAGTTCTTGCCCAGCTCAAATTGGTTGAAACCACTGACCATTCAGCTGGATCTGCGTATCCAGTGGATGACTTTTTGACGCCCAAACTCCACCCTCTGATCACGCTAATGCTACCATTTTCTGGACACGCGTCCCATGAAGAAGCGTGTAACTCAGTTACGCCTGCGCAGAGCAGTGATTACCTCATCTTTTTCCTGCCTCCAGTCACCTTCCCCTGTGCCTCTGACCACCCTATACTCCTCATCCATAGGTATCCCGAGCCCCTGACCTCCGGGGAGGTGGATCTGAGATTTGTTTTCCCATCTACTTGCTTGACTGCCTTGTAAATAAACCTCCCCTCCACTGCAAATCTCAGCCTTTGCCTCGCTGCACGTCAAGCAAATAAACCAGGTTCAGTAACACCTTTATCCTCAGATCCCTTGGGATTACTTCATTCTCTTACTGAATACATATTTGCTATGAGCCTACTATTAAGAGCCTGTTGTGTTATTATTAATAACATTAGCAAATGTTATTAAAAGCACTATATTAGCCACAGGATTTACAGACAAGAGCAAGATCAATAACATCCCTGTCCTCAGGGAACTTAATCTGTGATGGAAGAGACCAAAAACAACCAGGGAAGCAAAGCATTCACAGCATAAGGTCAGGAAGTGAGAAGTGCTCTGAAGAAAAGATAACGAAGGGTCAGGGGAGAGAGGAGTTCAAATGGGAACACTTTAGACGAGGTGAGTAGGGAATGCCTGGTGAGGAGGCAGAGACCTGAATGAAAGGGGAACGTAAGCCCTGTGACTGTCTCTTTGAGGGAAGAACAATCTTCTAACATATCTTATGACTATTGGAGAATACAGATCTGAAGACATAACTTGTGGAATAATGAACAGTAGAAGAACAGACCTCACATCTTCTTTAAAGATAAAAATCAACTTCCTGTTTCGGCATGGCAAGTCATGGGACCTGAAAATCACAGACAGAAGAGCTCACGTGTGTAGATCTCCACCAGAGGAAATAGGAATCCTTTACCCAGCAAATTACATGGACAGACAAGAACAAATGCTACTAAGAAGCTCTTCACAGAAAAGAAAAATATTCCTAGGTCAGCAAGTGATAGAAAACACATTTTCTTCAGGGCTTTGACTGAGTTCTGAACATCTGCAAAAGTGAAAACTGCGAGAAAATCTAGGTGATTGAACATGAAACAATGAAAGGAAGTCTCAGCCCGCGTCCCAGCCCTGAGATGGACGGAGCTTGGCTTCTGCACCAAAGACATTTCGACCAAGCCAGACTCATCCTCTCTGCTCATCTGGTTTGCTGTTTTAGGTCAAATGCACTCTATATAACTCTTTACAAAAATGTGTCCATTTTGGACATGAGTATTTATTGAATCAGGTAGCCTGTAATAATACAAATTGTGTACTTAAAATATATATAATAATTGATGAATAACTGAAGAATTTAGAAGCATTTCAATATTTTTTCATCCAGATTATGTTGTTCCAGAAATCAGGTGGCCTTTTCTATTTTTATAAATTCTGTCAAAAATACTGAAAAGTAAAGATAACTATTAAAATATGAGCCCCCCTTTTTTTTCTTAAGCAAAAAGATGAGTATGATAGTTGAGTATATGGAAATAAACTTTAGCAAGAACATTATAAAGATGAGTTTTCATATTTTCTCTGCAAAATCTCTAAATTTCCTGTAACATTCCATTATTCTCTTTTATGTGTCTATATTTTAATTTCCAATATATTTACAGTTAATATAAATATATCAAAATTAAGAAAATGAGCAGAAACAAGCTAATTTTGGAGAATTAGGACTGCAAAATTAATATGGGATAAACTTCATGTTAACATTTTTCAGGGTTTCCTAGAGCTTCTCAGGAATATAGCACTGACTTCATAAAGATGCTTATTGCTCACGCTAAATCATACTGTGATGACAATTAAGGTGAATGCAAGTTACATAAGAGTTAATGTTAGAGTTAATCAAAGATTGAGGAAACCAGATCCCTGAATGCAGTTTAATGCAGTCATTAATTACGTTCTGGCACTGTTACTCCTACTTTCAATGGCTTCCCAGTGCTCAGAGGATCCAGTCTGAGCTAATAAAGCTTGCAGACAAAGACTCTTGAAATTTTAACTAACCTACATATTTCCTGAACAGTCTCATGTAATTCTTTCCTATGTCCACACTTTCCACTATAGTCACACCCGAATACCCACAGTGTGAATTGTAATGATTCTTCTCCTCTGTTTATGTTGTTCTTTCTACCTTATTACCCTTTCTCCACTTGCTGTAATTGTTTTCATACTGTTATACTCAGTACCAAGGTCATCACTTCTCCATGCAGACAAAAATCACTGTGATCAATGTACTCCTGATGATAGCCCTTAACCTCTGTTGGAACTGAATGTTGGCATTAACGTTTCCCCTTTTTGCTTTTCAATAGGACCCTTCAGCGTAGAAACTGATTTTTCTCATATTTACCTATCAATTGTAATAAAAAATTAAATACAAAATGACATACAGATTAATATTTATAAATTAAAGAAATAACTTTTCAAAATTAATATACTAAATAGACCAAGAGTTGTTAAGAATTTTAGTAAGTAACTGAGATTTATAAAGAATAGGTAGTAGATAAAATTAATTGTACTGGAAGAGAATATGGATTTCTGAAGAATTTTCCCTCCTAACTTACTCTATAAATACAGATTTCAAACCTGGGAAAGTAGTCTATTTCTTTAGTCTATATAAATTTAGGCCAAAGTGCTGTAGCTGAGAGTCAGAAATCTTCCTCTGTACCTCTGTAGGAGATGAGGAAAGAACAAGACAGGGAACCTCTAATCCCCAAAGCAGTTTGGAGACAGTGGAAAGGAGGGCATTTAGCAACATAGCCGAGGAAATGACGAGAAGGAAATTGTTTTGTGTCTCAGGAACCATGTGGAATTCCAAGATAAGGAAAACAGTTGCTAATTTGAGTATAAAAGCAGGAAACATGATACACTTATTTCCTTTTCTGCAAACACAAGTATATGAGGGGTGGTGTGAAAATTATTTTTCTCTCTCTGAACCACAAAGACATAGAATTCAAAGTGCTTCTTTTGGACATACTGGCTTTTCTTTCTTTCTTGTTTTCTTCTCCCTCTCCTATTCCTTGTGGATATTATGGCTAATAACACAACAAGTTTAGGGAGTCCATGGCCAGAAAACTTTTGGGGTAAGATATTCTTTAACTACTTTAAATTTGAAATTAAAATGCAAAGGTATGTACTGTATGTTATTAAAATATTGGAAATCTCAGAGACATTTTGTTTACTGTAAATTGATTACCTAAAGCTTTCATAGATATATTGCAAAAAAAAATTTGTTCGGATGAAATGTCTGTAAGGTGGGCTACGAAGTGATTCCAGAAGAATCTGGGCAACAAGTATAGAGTTTGGCTGATGTTATGAAATATAATTAGAAAATAATAAGAATAAAAGTGAGAAAAGAGGTGAAAGTAATTGCTGTTTGGAATGGAAGTAGATTTTGTTGGAAAATTAAGTTTTGTTTGTCTTAAGGTTATATAGATATGTACCTTACTTAATGAACATCAGAATTGCCATAGAGATTATTTTAACTTGCATTGTCAATGTTATACAATGTTTAGATTTCCAAAGTGAATCCAAACTACAAATCCGTACTGGAAGAGTGTGATGACATAGATAAAATAAGAAATCATATAATGAAGTCAGAGGAAAAAATTGTATTAGAAAATGTTAAGTGGAAATAACATCACATGTAACATTACAAAGAAAGCCTATCCTGGGGGTAAAAAGAACGCTACAAAAATTCTTTTTGGCTGAATTCAGAGGCAGCTTGCAGCTTCTAGACAAGTCTGAGCAGCAGGACGGCGTTGAGGTCAAAACCACCAGACTTTCAAGGCTAGATTTAAGAGGCAGAAAGGCTTGGATGTAAAATTGACATGTATTTTTGGGTTCAGGGAAATTTTAAAAATAAAGGGGGCAAGTTGAATTAAATTCAGAAAAGAAAAACTTCAAAGGAGAAAACGGAGTTTGTGAAGAGATGGATAGCCTGACTGATTGATCTAGAACAAGGTTTTAGTCTCTGAGAACTATTTCAGCTTTTCTGTTGTGATTCCAAGGGACATTTTGGGAACTATCAGGTGACCAGTGAGCAGCCGTGCTGCCTGCCCCTAACCACCTTACCTGGTGGTCCGCCATCAAAGAATGTGCACGAAGGGAGTTAACTAATTCCTTTTACCATCAACCATTTATGTTTGCTTCAAGCCTGAAAATAAGAGACATGAGTAAACATCCTAATATAATTATTATAAAAATTAAGAAGCAGAAAATAAACTATACCTGCACATTGTAAAGAGTGGCTTTGGTATTAAGTTATTCTAGGTAGACACCAATAGACAATAAGCCTTTGAATTGTGAGAGTCTTAATTATATGTGTTTGTTACAATACTGTTTGCTGTCCTCTTTTACAGAGAAAGTGATTATACTAAACACAGGCTGAAAAACAGCTAGTGTGTTAGAGTGTTTACACCAAACTCATCACTGCAAAATCAAGTAACTGTATAAATTATTCAAAAACAAAGTAACTCTTACTGCAAAAAATAATCTGTCAAAGCCAAATTTATCTTTTTCAGATCGTTCAAAGTTAAATTGCAGGTTTAATTAAGGACTGAAGGAAAAAAATCATTATCCACTAACTAAAACATGGATAGCCATCATAAAATAAACCCAAATGAATGACAATATTTAATTGGAGTCTATTTACCAATCTTAATTTTTTTTAAATATAGAAATCTATGCTTACTAAGGAATTCAAACTTATTGTTCCAAAGACAGTTCCTAGGGTTTCTTTATCTTACAGTGTGAATACAATGGAAAATAGATGGAAATAATGAAAACCAGGAAGGGGAGTGTTATATCGATAAGCATTAACAAAGCCAAACAAATATGTTGAGCAGATATAATGTTATAATGTTTGATGGCATGGGGAAAATATATTAAAAAATCACATTATTTCCTTTGGGGTAAAAAATATTAAGTTCAAAGTGCAAAAAATGTATATGTGAATATATGATGCAAAATTTTTCTAAAATATAAATGCTGATCTTTTACATTTTTATTTCTTTTTGTATCTAAATTGTTATCTATCTTGATCACTGTCATCACAAAGATATTATTTGAAAATCTTGTAAATGTAGTGTGATACATTGTTTATTACTTCTGAAATCAATTGTCTGCTTGGCATTTTGAATTCAGAGAATAGACAAAGAACAGTTTAGAAAAGCAAAACTTGTACATCGAACCATACAAATTTCCCAGACTAAGGCTGCATAAAAATTTGCTTTCCAAATATAATTTTCCTGATTTGCTTTGATGAATGTTGAAAAATAAGATAATGACACCAGGTTATTACCAATAACGATAGCTTGAATTTTCTTGGTAATCCCCCACGGAAACATTACATTTTGCACAAGCATTGCAGTAACTGGTGCAATGGTTGGCAATAAAATTGGCCTGAGAGTGACAACACAGCTGAAGGCCACACCTTGCATTTCTTACTTTTGCTTTCTTGAATGCATTTCCCATCCCTATAAACATCCCTCATGGAAACAGCAGGAATATAACCTGTGAAAGTTTGCTGCACTCTGCTTTAATGAAATAGTAGACAAGTGTCTCCAAGCTTTGGTTAGTCTCTTGGTATTTAAAGTCCTAAATAGAAGACTGTTTGGTTATATTTTTGCCTTCTTATGCATTTTCTCTCTTTTGGCTAGCATTGTGAAAAATTAGGAAAGTTATTGGTTTAGGAACTTTTATTTATTCACCTTATTTAATCCTCACCAAAACTATGTCTGTCCACAAGAAGATTATACTATTGGAGGAGATTTTGTGTCCATACATATGCAAATGTATGCTTATGTTGTTATGAAATAATACAAGATAGTATATGGTAAAATGACCATGATTGTTATTAGTTAAAAAAATCAAATATGGACGATATGGTTCCTAATTCTTCTTAGAAAAAAATTCCTATAAATCAGATAAGGTTCAAATAGGGAGATACTTCCAGTAAGGAAATTTTAATCATTCAGTTTTCCTACATTCACTTATTATTAACTCATTCATTCATTCATTTATCTATCCAGCCCATTAATTTAATCAGAAGCATTGACTGACCACTCCTTACATACTAGGCAATGTGTCAGGTGTTGGTGAGATAAATAAGGTATAGTTGGAGAATTTCAGGGAGTTCAGGAGAAATGTGGTCAGCAAATGTGCAGAAGTAAAAACACACAAGTCTTATTTGTGGAGAAGTGAATGGTTTGAGGCAGATTTGTGTAGTTTTTTATTTTTAATTTTTTAATTGAAGTATAGTCAATTTACAATGTTGTGTTAGTTTTAGCCAAGACACGGAAGGAACCTAAATGTCCATCGACAGAATATTGGATAAAGAGGATATATGTATTATATATGTTACACACAGTGGAATACTACTTGGCCATAAAAAAGAACGAAATAATGTTATTTGCTGATTTATAGTTTTGAATGTCAATGTAAAAAGTTTCACCTGATTTAGCATAACTATTTTCAATTTAGTTACTTCATGTCTCCCCACTTTTCTCTTCCTTAGGACTTTCCTCTAAAGTTGGAAATAGGGTGTGGTTGGGGTGGAAGCTATATATTATCAAGAGTATTGGAAGGAGAAGGTCATTGTTTCTTGATCAGGTTCTGATCTCCGCTGACTCTGCTGATGGGTATTTCTTATCTGCTTTAGGGGCATTGTCCTTTCTTCTTGACTCCGCTGCTGGGGGCTCTTACAGTACAATTTGGCTTACATGGTCCATGCAACATATGTAATGGCATGGTTTTTCCTTTCTGTACGCCCTTTCTGGTCTACTGACCCGTATTCACATACTTTTCCATCTGTCTCAGTGGCACAAAACAATGTTGAATGATCGATCTTCCATAACCCTGGGCTATGGGTGCCTCTTGAGGTTGGGCTGTATATCAGAGATGGAGTGATGGCCCCTTTTCCAGAGCACTTACTGGTCACATACTTTATAGCTCTTCTTCTCTCTCCAAAACTTCTCTTTTCACACTGCTTCTGAAAATTGACTTATGCATTGAATGCTTATGCCCATCCCACCCCCAAGTCATATGTTGAAGTCTTAACCCCAAATGCAGTGTCATTTGGAGATGGGGCCTTTGAGAGGTAATTTGGGTAAAACTAGAGGATGAAAGTGCCCATAATGGGGTTAATGGCCCTATAAGAAGAGGAAGAGATACTGCTCTCTCTCCATCTGCCCGTGTGCATGCACTGAGGCTAGGACCTGGGCTCTTACCAGAACCTGACCATGCCGGCACCTGGATCTTGGACCTCTTAGGCCCCAGAACTGTGAGAAATAAGTATCTGTTGTTTAAGTCACCAATCTATAGTATTTTATATAGCAGCCCAAGTCGACATAGGCATGACTCCTAGCCCAAAGTTTATTTTTCCAAGTATTGTTTATTATAGCAAAAAGTGATGTTCCTGAGTCCTTTAGGCTCTTAGTATTTTGAAACTACAATAAACATCAAAAAACAACAAAACCATTGTCATCTCTCAAATGTCTAATGGTCACCTTAAAACAATTGGTTTTCAAGACAATCATCTATTCTATACATTTAATAGTCTTGTTAGTCATTCTCAACATCAATGTTTCCTTTTTCTGTGTATCCTTGATAACAGCCCTAATCCTCTCCAAGATAACTGAAGAGATGGAGAGCTGTTCATGGATTTCTTGGGCAGTTAAGTGCTGTCAAGGGGAGAAAACTTTGGTTAACAGCTGAAAAGTTGATTCCTTAACTTGTAGAAAACTATATCACTTTGGGCTCTACTCCTGATGGGAGTAAGATGTTTCTGGAGAAGTCAAGGAGGGAAAAGGTTTATGGGCTGGGCATACACCCCAATGAGGTTCTTTACTTTCCCTCTTCTCAAATAGTAAACAAAGACTGACTCTATTTCAAATGCATATCTTTAATTTGTATTTTTAGAGCTCTTGGATATCTATGCATCATTTCATATTAACAGCCTACTTATTACTTCCTTTATATTGGTTATCTAGGAAGTTTGAAAAACAAGTGTTTACAAATGCTTGTCTTTAAAACTGCTGCATCTCAATTCCACAGAGACAAGTTTGAAAATTCATCTCTTACT